GCCCTCCCACACACACGCTCAGTGATTGCAAAACTGTGAGGCTAGACTGTGTGCAGGAGAGAGGCAGGGAGGGCAAGGGAAGCCCTGGAGCCCTCGGCCACCATGACCAGGCTACAGGAGACACCTTGTCCTTCAGAGCAGCTTCTTAGATCTCCTCGACACCCTCCACTCATGCTGGGGAGGCAGAACTGATCTAGCCCAAGGCTGAGTTTCCAGAGGAGGCTGCAGCGTGCACGGGTCACAGAAAGGGAAAGTTGGTCTCAGAATGAAGAAGGGAAGAGGCTTCAGGGGCTTCTTCCGCGACGTCATACTTAGGAAAAATATACAGCACAAAGCAATATTTAAGGATTTTTATATGTACATTGAAAACCCCCAACTCCACCTGAATTACACTCCCATCTCCTTGTGCGAACTCTCCCCATCCACCTCCTCCCGAACAGGGAATGTGGTCTCAACATCTGGGGAGCTTTCAAAGCTGGCCTAGGATGGATCCTGCCCTCTGCCTGGAAATAACAGAGACAGAGCGAGAGGAGGGGAGAGAACACTTGGAAAATGTTCTCTTTCCTGGGAGTAGCTAGTCCTGTATAGGTCCCAACCAAGGGCCTAGAATCATACAATAATATTAGATAACCTTAAGAAAAAATAATACAGGTTTCTTTGAGAAATCCGGTCTGGTGACAGCCTAGACTCCCAGGAGGTTTTCTTCCCTTATTCTCCTACTCGGTGAGGGATGGTCCTGGATTTGCTATTAATGTTTAGGTCCAGTTATGGCTCCTACCAGCAGAAAACAACCTCACGGTCGGCTGGGTTTAGGCTGGAGAGTGAATCTCCCTGTGGGGCGAACATTGCCCCTCCAAGTGTCACCTTCCCTGGTAACTCTGAGACCACCACTGTGGTCTTCCCTTCCGCACGGTCCCATTTCCTACCGCGCGCTGACCCTTCCCTTCCCCGCGCCCCCTCCCCTCCCCTGCATCCCCTTCCCCCTCCCCTGCATCCCCTCCCCTCCCCTCCCCTGCATCCCCTCCCCTCCCCTGCATCCCCTCCCCTCCCCTGCATCCTCTCCCTCCCTCCCCTGCATCCCCTCCCTCCCCTGCATCCCCTCCCCTCCCCTCTCCCCTGCATCCCCTCCCCTCCCCTGCATCCCCTCCCCTCTCCTCCCCTGCATCCCCTCCCCTCCCCTCCCCTCCCCTTGCCCCGCTTCCCTGCTCTTCGCCGCCCTCCTCTCCCCTTGACCTCCCTCCCCTTTCTCGTGCTCCCCCTCCGGAGCCAGCTCTGACCCTTTCCTTCCCCGCCCTCTCCGCCCCTTGCCCGCGCTCCCCTCCCCTTGCCCCGCCCTTCCCCTCCCTTGCCTGCTTGGACCCTTCCCTTCCCCGCACTGACCCTTCCCTTCCCCGCGGTGCTCTCTTTTAACCCTATAGGCACAAAAGAGGGGAGCTGGATCTTCCCAAGTGCCCTCACTGAGCATCAGGTTATTTGTCACAGGTGACAAATAATAAGCAGCTAAGGAAATAGAAACAGCAGAGCTGCCAGGCGCCTTGCCCCTGCCTGCCTTCCCCTTGCCCACCTTCCCCTTGCCCGCCTTGCCCCTGCGTGTTCTGAGCTATTTCCGCTCTGGCCCCACTGGGTTGGCATAGGCGCCAGACACTGCCGGAATCCTCCATTTCTCAGTTTCTGGCCCGGCTCCATCCAGAGGGCGTCTTCTCATGGCCGCTGCCAAACACCCCCTTTCTTCAATATTTTACTGGCTTTTCCAACAAGGCCAAGAGAGATGAATCCCACCAGGCCATTTCCCTGCCCCTTTCAGTTGCCTGAGCATGGTGGCTCAGTCCTGTTATCCCAGTACTTTAGGACGCAGAGGCAGGAGGATCACTTGAGCCCAGGGTTCAGGACCAGCTGGGGCAATACAGTGAGACAGTCTCTACAAAAAAATAATTTTAAAAAAGTTAGCCAGGTTTGGTGGTGCTGGCCTGTAGTCCCTGCTACTCAGGAGGTTGAGGTGGGAGGATCACTTGAACCCAGGAGTTCAAGGCTGCAGTAAGCTATGATCACACTACTCTAGTCCAGCCTGGGCCACTGAGTGAGATGCTCTCTTAAATTTTTTTAAAAAATAAAAGAAAATGTAGGGCAAGCAGAATGTAGCATCAAAAGCATTCAGGAAGGTCAGGCAGCAGCAGAGAACGCGTGCCAAGAGGCTGGCAGAGATCTCTGGGACTGGGTGGGACCGGTGCACTTTGAAAGGTGCCTATATCATGACATTATGTTTTTGAAATTAATCGAGGGTCCAGCGAAATTGTCCTTAACGGATCAGACAGTAAATATATTAGGTTCTGGGAGCCATACACTCTCTCCCCAACTACTTAGTTCTGCTGGTGTAGCCAAAAAGAAGCTAAAGACTCATTTTTCGATTGTTTAGCTTCTTTTTGGCTACACCAGCAGAACTAAGTACTTGGGAGAGCCAACTACCTGTGTTAAAAAAAAAAAAAAATGAGAACATACTTTATCCTTGAGTCCATTCATACCTTTGCTCATGTCATGAACTGTTATGCAAAGTAAGGTCTGTGGATCATTGCCATCCACATCTTTAGAACTTGTTAGAAATGCAGAATCTGGCTCACACCTGTAATCCTAAAACTTTGGGCGACTGAGGTGGGAGGATCACTTTGGCCCAGGAATTTGAGACCAGCCTGGGAAACATAGGGAGATCCTATCTCTAAAAAAATAAAAGTAAAAAAAATTAGCTGGACATTGTGGCACATGGCCATAGTCCTAGCTATTCAGGACATTCAGGTGGGAGGACTGCCTAAGTTAGAGAGGTGGAGGCTACAGCAAGCCATGGTCACATGATTACACTCCAGCATGGGAACACAGTGAGGCCGTGTCTCAAGATAAAATAAGAAAGTCGGAATCTCAGACTCACCCTAGGCCTGCTGAACCATATGTGCATTTTAGCATGACCTCTGGGTGACTGGCATGCACAGTCATGTTTGTAAAGCACTAAGCTAAGGAGTAAGAGTAAGAGACTGAAGGACAAGATGGAATGCCTTACCTTCTTTGGGATGGATCACCGTCTTTTGACCAGTGCAATTTCCATTCCCAGCTGGCCATTTAAAATACAAACAAAATTCTGTAATTTTTTTAAATCCTAAACTTAACAATATTCTTTTTCAGTAGATGATCTCCATTAATATTTTATAGCCATACAGATTCCTGGAGTTGGAACAAAATTTGGAAACCATCCTGCATTCACCAAAAGGCAGAGTCCCTTCTACAATATTCCTTTGTGGTCTCTAACTGAGCATCTCCAGGAGACAACTCATTGTAACACAAGATCCAATGATAAGTGAATCATCTACCACCGGAACCATGGCAACAGGCCATAAATGTCTGCTTCAATCTTCCTGGCCATCTTAGAGACAAGATTACCTTTCTGAAATCATATACCAGCATAGAAGGTACTTGAATAACATTGATTTCCTGACCAATTCAACACTCTCCATTCTGTATAACTACCTTCCACTCTCTCTGGCATAATCAAACAGATCTGCTCATTATCCTACGATTCTTTTGATGCTAGCTTCCTCAGTCCAACGTCCTACTTTTAACTTTTTTCCCTATGTCACAGCTTCCCTGCCTTGGCCGGGAAAATTCTATTCACTTGCCTCCCCTGATCCCTCGGGTATTCAAGGATAGCTGTAAGCATCCTCTTGTGTTTTTTCTAACTTTTATGAAACTAGAGGTTACGTTTTTTGACCAGATTTCTAGTTAAAGGGAGAATTTCATTTTAAACAAGAATCTAGTCCTTCAATTGCTTCAGGACAACCGAAGCACCTCATTGGTGCTCTTTCTCTTTTTACCTTCCTTTTATGTGGGAAAGGCTTCTGTGTGCACTGTCACCTGAAGTTTACTGGAGAGTCACTCATCCAAAAACATGTCTTTACCATACCTAAAAGTGTTATTGCTAGGGTCTTATTAGAACTCCCCTGGAGACAGGGACACTCAATTAAATTTTGCAAACATCTATGGAGCCTTACCATACTCCCATTATTTTGCGAGGTGCTGGTACGAATACAGAGATGGATATGATAAAGGCAACGTTCCAGTGTGTGCCTTGTGGTGGAGAAAAATCGATAAAACCTTTGCCTTATTAACATTTTCCCCAGAACTAGCTACCTGTTTGACTTGAGGTCCCACACAACAAGCAGACCTATCTTCTGATATCTATCTATCTATCATCCATCTTTATCTCAGAAAGCAGAAGTAGGGTATGAAGAAGAGATGGGACATTACAGGGCAAAGTCCTCCCCTCCAGCCAAGTTTTTGTTTGTTTCTTTTTCTTTTTTTTTTTTTTTTTTGAGACGGAGTTTCGCTCTTGTTACCCAGAGTGCAATGGCGCGATCTCGGCTCACCGCAACCTCCGCCTCCTGGGTTCAGGCAATTCTCCTGCCTCAGCCTCCTGAGTAGCTGGGATTACAGGCACGCGCCACCATGCCCAGCTAATTTTTTGTATTTTTAGTAGAGACGGCGTTTCACCATGTTGACCAGGATGGGCTCGATCTCTTGACCTTGTGATCCACTCGCCTCAGCCTCCCAAAGTGCTGGGATTACAGGCTTGAGCCACCGGGCCCGGCCACCCGTTTTTTCAAACTCCTCGTCCATAGCGTTCATACTGAGCTGTTTGAGGGCAGGTCACGTCTTTCCACTACGCCCCCTGCCGGCACCTAGGGCTTCCTCATGGAGACCTTGCAGGTAACCCATGTGAACGCGGGCTCCGCGGCAGCCGCGCCCAGGTGGGCTTTGCTCACATCCAATCACTTAGTACGCACACTCCCTCCAGCCAATGAGCCAATACGTACTCCTTTCTCCACCTCCCTCCGGGCGGCCACCGCCCCATCAGCCTCTGGTAGTCCGGTGCACGGCCCAGGTTGCCCCGCCCCGCCCCGCCCCCTCACCGCCACGTGCTCGAGGAGGGAGTCGCGCGCCACTGACGTCACCAGCACGCGTCTCCAGCTCTGCGGTCTGCAAGCGACGGAGTTACGCGCGTTCGGATTCTTCTGGAGTCTCCTGCCCGCCCAGTGGCCGCAGTCACCCAGGTCCAGAGGCCGCGGTATCACAGACTCTGCGACATGTCGATGCTGGCTGAGCGTGAGTGTCGGAAGCGGAGGCCCGACCCGGGCGCATAGCTGAAGACGCCGGGTGACGCGCGCGGCAGCCCTGAGTGGCTGGGGGGCGCAGGTTCCTAGTGCGCCTGGCGCATGGGGTCCGGGATCAGGGAGCCTGGCTCGTTTTGTCCGCTTGCCACAGAGCTCCCCGAAAGTTGGCCGCGGGTCTGCTAGTGAGAGAGACCGCGACTGTCCGGAGACGCCGTCCTCAGAATCACCCTGGGGCGCACACGGAGGAATCGAAGGGGGTCAGAACACCGGGTCCCGGGACTGGTCCCGCCGCCGCCCTTCGTGGGGACCCGTACTGGTTGCTTCACTCCCCCAGACCTGAGCTTACTCAGGTTAAAAAGAGAAGGTCGAGCAGAAGGATCACTTCAAACTGTAATCACATTGTCCAAGATGTATTGGATCCAGAAAAAGAAAAGCAAAGGAGTTAGAAGTCTCAAACGTGGGACGTCAGCCCCTTAGAGGGGGAGTGCGGGGTGGATGAGTAATTGTAAATGAATTTATCTTCACTTTGTGGAGTCGGTGAAAGCCCTGTCTCTGAGAATGGTGCCTGTAGCTAAGGTCGCTTGCCACCAGATGGCAGTCGTGCTTTGGTCCTGAAAAGCGGGTCCTTCTTGAAAGTTGCGTAGTGAGCGATAAACAAAAACAACTTATTTAACAGATCAACCGCACCAGCACAGGGATTTTGTGAAATAAATGCTGTTAGCGCTCTGTTTTCTAAGAGGATGGAGGACTAGGAGCACAAAACGCAATGGGTCAGGCACCATCCTGAGTTTACAGGGGCAGAAATTGACGTTGAAAGGAAAATAATATGCCCCGAGTCGTTGAGCTAGAAAATGACAAAATTGATCTAGTTGTGTCTGTATCATTATATTCTTGCCAGTAAGACCAGCAGAGACCCATAGAATTCAGTATGTATTAGACTGAATCCATGGGCTGTATTTTTTCATCGGTAAAAATGAGCAGTCAGGGTTAGACCCTAGATAACTAAGATCTCTTATGGTTTTGGTATTCTTTAATGTTTGCTTACTTCAGTATGCACTTGGCGACTTTGGCCCTAGCTCTGCTATTTATTTATGTCTGTTCCTATGATTAGTGTTTGTGAGACCACTAAAATCTCTTACTATCTTTATCCCCAGGTGGCCTTAAATCAGTGAGATGGTGAACATGAACACAGTTTGAAAAGTCTGAAGTATAGAGCTGTACAATGTTATTTGTAGACGTCAGTAATTCAGATTGCATGATTTCAAGAGAGTGTTTTCAGTTCTCCTCTTCCCAGCATTGTTCAGATCCTTGTCATGGTAACATATATTTTGTGGGTTTTTTTCATCATTTGATAAATGGATATAGCATCTTCTGTAATTAGATATTTAGGATTGGTATTGTTAATAAGAAAAACCTCCAACAAATTCAACAGAGTTTGAGCAAAGAACGATTTGAGGATTGGGCAGCCTTCAGAACTAGAAACAGGTTCTAAGAACTCCAGCCTGCTGTTTGGCCAGGCAGCATTTATGGAGAGTAAACCGGAGTGAGATAGAGACAGCTTGGTTAGGGTTGCTGCTCTGATTTGCCCTATTTGAATCAGCTGGCTGCCTGTGATTGCCTGAAGCTCAGTTGCTGTCATGAATTGAGACTCAGTTATATGTTACAAGAGTATACTCCTAAGATAGGCTTTCTCTTACTTAAGTTCTAAAGTAGGTTGCAGTTCTTTAATGTAAGGACTCAAGTATGGAGACATCCTCAGGCCAAATTTAATTTAGTGTAACAATTCTGTCCTTCCTGTCAACCTCTGAATTTTGAGAGATTGTTCAAAACTTCTGCCCCTGGCTCTTGGGACCCAAGAAGCCCTTTAGAGCGAATGGGATCCTAGCATAAGTCATGTGGTATTGAGCTGTTGTGTGGATGGTTTTTCTTGGAGTTGCCCCAAAAGCATCCCAACAGACCCATTTACAGTTAGATCTCCACATGAGAGTCCCTGCTAGAGGCTGGTTAAATACATCCCAAATAGTGGTCTGCAGATTGAGGGCATTCTACCTGAGGTGCAGCACCATGCTGTAAACGTGGCTGTTCCAGATGGTGTCAAGGGTCCCAAGATCATCCCCAGATTCAGTGATGTGCTGGGGGATTGAGGCAGGGGACTCAGCATCTAGTCGCTGTCACCGCTAAGATTCATTACAGTGAAAGGATACAGAGCAAAGCCAGTACAAGGAAAAGACGAATAGGGCAAAGTCCAGGGGAAACCAGGCATCAAGCTTCCAGAGCCCGCCCCCAGTGAGTCACACATGACACGCTTAATTCCCCCAGGAGTGAGTTATGATAGCAAATGTGGAATATTGCCCACCAGGGAAGCTAGTGAGAAACTCAGTGCCAGGGATTTTCCTGGGGGCTGGCCACATAGGCACCCTCTACCTGGCAGGCAACAAAACTCCAGACCCCCAGAAGGAAAGCAGACGTTCAGCATAAACCGTATAGCTCTGCTATTCGTGTATGTCTGTTCCTTTGATCAGTGTTGGTAAGGCCACTAAAATCTTTTATTTTCCTTACATCATTTGTATGAACAGGCACTATAAGCCACTCTTATCAGTTCTGCCAGTAGTGGGAGCCCTTGGGTTCCCTGTTGTAAACAGGCCTTTCACAGGGTATCAGTCAGGCCTACTGTGTTAGTCAACAAAGCTGAGATCTGAGCACAGAACAGACTGGCATGAGAATCACAAAGGACATGTAAAAGGTGATCCAGTTGTTCTTGAACTCCCGACCTCAGGTGATCCACTCGCCTTGGCCTCCAAAGTGCTTGGATTACAGGCGTGAGCCACCGCGCCCGGCCCCAAAGGTGATCCAGTTGGAACAGCTCAGAGGCAGTCTTTTCCTTACCATGATTTTCCATACCTGGAAACTTGTGCTGCCTTAGAGCCGGGAAATGTTCCAGGGAAGCAGGGTTCTGGTCTAGTGAGTCTGGGAAGCATGGCAGGCCTGCCCTGGCCTCCTCTAAGAGGATCTGCACATTTGCATAGTTAACGTTCCGGGAGATTCTTCAGTATTAAATTTTGTTTAACCCAGTGTTACTCATTTTCAATGGGAAGCTTCCCTCCTCCCCCTTTAGCATCCTTATTCGGAAACACTCGAGTGTTCCCATTGGTTGAAGCTACCTGCCATGGTGGTGGCGGGGATGGGGTGGGGAAGACATGACCTGATCTTGAATAGCTAATCTCTTGTGTAGGCATTATAGTTTGTTGTACATGAGTATGTAATACGAAGCGTGTACAGTTCTTACTGCGGACTGTGAGCTTATTCCCAAAACTGTCCCCTTCATGCAAGTCCTCGTTGAAGACCCTGACAAGCACTACGTAGAGACAGGAACTCTGACGCGCAGATGCCAGCTTGCGTATAGAATACTGGTTAACGGGAGTCTGTCTGGTGTGTCGTTCATTAGCAGAGGCAGTGTGATGCTGACTTTTTGCCAAAGTAAGTGAAGTGAACACTTAGCCAGATGGAGCATTTTTGGGTCACCTTTTTTTTTTTTTTTTCTGCAAAACACTATAAGTTCGAGCCCAACTTGTTTTGCTTTGTTAAGTGGCCTTTTTTCTGCCTGTGTGTTTGTAAAGGTCTTCCGCTTTTGCCGAAGTGTGCGTAGTTACGGGTCTCTGTTGATTTTATGTGTGGCACAGTGAGCCTCTTTGGTAGGGGGGTGTGTTACTTTTTAATTATGTGATGAGATGGGCAAGGCAGGAGGGGTTGTATTGATGGTAAGACAATGTGTTTTGATTGATGTGGCAGATAAATGATAATGACCCCTCCAGATTTCTCATTTGGCCACAGTTGAGTTTTGGGTTTCATGTTCTTTGGAGTTCTTTAGTTTTGCCATAATCTTCCTTAAAACCTACAGTGATAAACTTGAGTTCATAACGATCAGTAATTTATATGCCTTAAGAAAAAGTTACTTCGATTAGACTCAGAGCAGCTCCCTTGATTCATATGTTCCTTTCCTTTCTTTTTTCTTTTCTGTCTTCCTTCCTCCCTTCTTCCCTCTCCATTCTTCATTTTTATTCATTTATTTCATTCACATATTTATTGAGTGACTGCTGTGGGCAAAGTGCTATTTTTTTTTTCTTGCAATGAAGCCTAAGAAAAAAAGACATGAATATGAGCCCTAAGGAGAAGATGTTTTAATGGGAAACATGAAAGATGGATATACATAGCCCTAATACAGTAGATGTTAAGAAATAGGTAAGTTATTTTAGAAGTTCAGAGAGGGGTCAGAGGGCTTCAGGGCATCTCAGTTTGAGGGATGGTGGTGTTATCTGTAGGTCACATGTATGGAGGGTACAGTTGACTCTCCCCAGTAGAGTAATGACTGTTGTATGTTGTGGATTAAGAATATAAGCTTTGAAGTCAGTAGGACCGAGGTTGGTTTAAAGGATCGGGTTTTTGCTTGGGGATGTTGGGTAAATTTCTTTTTCTAAGTCTCACGTTTTCGTACCTGCCAGTGACTACGCTGCTAACCACCCTCATTGGGTTACTGTGAACACCGAGTCTTTATTACGTACAGCGTGTGGAGCAGGTCTCACGTTGGTGAATTGGCATTTATTATTTTAAGTGCATCCTTGGTCTTGCATATTGTTTTGTATGTAGTAGCTCATGGCAAGGGAAGCTGTAACTGCTGCTGATGGTGATGAGGATGCTGGTGTCCGCAGGTGCTTTCACTTGTGCTGATGGCTGAGTATGGAAGGCCCAGCTGTAGGATATTGAGCATTTGCTTTGCCACATAGTGAGGGAACATTTCAATTTTAATCTTAAGAAGTCAACTTATATGTCTAGCATCTACATTTATTGGGGAAACCAGGATAAATGATCCAGTCTGTTAACCTTCTATTAGGTGTTGAATTAATTTCGATATTATAATGTATGTCATATTTTACATACGTACATAAAACACACAAAGTTATGCATGTGTATGTCTGTGTGGTATTTTGCATGTCTGAAAGGTGCTGCATTGCTGACGAGATGCTTTTTCGTTTCCAGGTCGGCGGAAGCAGAAGTGGGCTGTGGATCCTCAGAACACTGCCTGGAGTAATGACGATTCCAAGTTTGGCCAGAGGATGCTAGAAAAGATGGGGTGGTCAAAAGGAAAGGTATTTTGGAGAAAAGCAGAACAAATCTGAGCTAAGAAAAGAGATTAGAAATTAGGGGAAAACTTCCTTCTCAGGAGGCTGGAAGGAATTTATGCTTTGGATCAGTAAGTGATTTTGATCCAAAATAAAAAATTGTTGTGACCTTATGGTGATAAATTAGGATTGAACATAAATGTCAACACTATTTAAGCTGCCATGATTAGCATCTCTCGTAGACAGTGGCTCTCACTAGTTGCACCCGGAATCATAATTAACCATCAGAGATTTACATTTTGTGCCCCTTTATAACCAGGCTACACGCTTTTTCCCTTTCCTCACTTCCCATTTGTTCTTGACTCCAGTAGAGCTTCTGCTGATACCCTCACACGTAAATGGTTCTTGTTGAGGTCTTTGGTGATCTTTAAGTCTAATGCTTTGAATTAGCCAAATCTAGTGGGCCTTTGTTCTGTTCTCACATTGCTCAACTCCTCAGCAGTGCTGGATGTAACCGACTACTCTCCCCTTGAAATACTTGTCTTGGTCTCCACAGGACTATTGTCTCATCTGCTCTTCCTTAACTTCACTCACCGTTCCTAAATTCGTTGCTATTTCTTTTTTTCTGTAGACTTTTGATTGTTAGAGCTCTTTGAGGCTCAGCCTCAGGCCCCTTTTCTGCCCTCTGCTCCGGTGATCTCATTCATTCCTTTGCCACACTGAATTAGCTGAAATCTGGGAACTGTCATTTTTCTATATCTAGTCCATTTCTGTCCTCTGAGCTCCAGATTTGTAAATTCAACAGCCTGCTTGATATTTCCACTTGAGCAATCGTCTCAAGGCTATCATTTCTATTATAAAACTCTTGATTCCCCCAAATATATTTTCCCCAAGTTTTCCCTGTTTTTCATACGTGGTAGCATCTGCCATTTTTACACAAGCCAGAAACCTGAGAGTCCTACTTGGTTCCTCCGCCCTCTTCCCTCCCACGTCCCCAGTCAGTCCTCTCTGTCCTCTCTCTTCCCTCCCGCATCCCCAGCCATCATCCTTCTCCATCCTCCGCCTTCACTCCCGCATCCCCAGTCATCATCCTTCTCCATCCTCCCTCTTCCCTCCCGCATCCCCAGTCGTCGTCCTTCTCCGTCCTCCCTCTTCCCTCCCGCATCCCCAGTCATCATCCTTCTCCATCCTCCCTCTTCCCTCCCACATCCCCAGTCGTCGTCCTTCTCCGTCCTCCCTCTTCCCTCCCGCATCCCCAGTCATCGTCCTTCTCCGTCCTCCCTCTTCCCTCCCACATCCCTAGTCATCATCCTTCTCCGTCTTCCTTCTTCCCTCTCCCATCCCCAGTCATCATTCTTCTCCGGCCAAGGCAGCACTCTGCTTCAGCCACTGTCGTAACGTGCACTGATTGACTCCTTAGACTCTCAACTGTCTCCCTTCCTCCCTCCTTTTTCTCCTCTGACCCATTTGCTATACAGCAACCAGAATGATCTTTTAAGATATGGAAATCAGCTTGTGTCATTCTTAAAAGACCAGTGGTTTTCCATCGCATTTAAAATAAAATCCCAATTCCTCCCGTAGGTTATGTGAGATCTAGCCTCTCTGCCATCCCATTTCCTTCATTTGCTGCAGAAGCCACCCCGGGTGCCTCTGAGGTTTCCCAGCACACTGAGTTTTTTCCCCACCTTAGGATCTTTGCACTTGATCTCCCCTTGCCTGGAAAATCTTACCGTGAGTGTTAATCGATGCAGAGGACTTAAGAGTCCTCCTCCATGTTGTTTTGTGAAAATATTTGATGGAGAAAATCATCAACTCAGAACAACTGCCGTGTGCATCTGTGAGTTTTGTAGCAGTGCTCTGCTTCTGAGTATCAGCCAGAGGCATGTTCTAACTCTGTGTTTAATCTCCACAGGGTTTAGGGGCTCAGGAGCAAGGAGCCACAGATCATATTAAAGTTCAAGTGAAAAATAACCACCTGGGACTCGGAGCCACCGTCAATAACGAAGTGAGCAGCACGTGCCTCCTGGGTGTCTTTGCATAATTGACTTCAGTCTTGTAGATGTAAACATTTTAATCCAGTCATTTGATGGATTCGTCTGACTGTTGGTGCCACACTTCATTTCATTCTCCTGAACACTGACACTTCAATGTGTGGTATCGTAATTCAGAATCAGTGGCCTACTGTGGTTTTATCTAAACCCAAAGTTTTATTCCTAAGTTTTTGCAGCCAACAGAATCTGGTAGGAAATCTGGAGAATTACTTTAGGTAAATTGAATTACTTTGGTTAGTTGAGTATCTCTGAGTAGTGGATTAGAGCAGCTAAAATTTTTAGCCACTAAAGAGTTTACATAAGGTTGATTTCAAATGTAGTTGTTGAAGGATAGATAACACAGATACCCTTATTTTCTTGGGAGAAACATTACCCAGTAAACCTGTTCCATATTCCTTTACCTTAAGTATTCTTAAAAATGCTTAAGAATGTGAGTAAGGCAGATTCTTACATTGAAACCCTGCTTCCCACTGGTTTGGGAGATCTTCATTCTCTTATAAAAGCCAGGTTCATTTTTTTATAATGAACTTACTAGGTAACCACCTTAGGAATGGGTGCTCATTGATTCACGGGACTTGAGATTTTTCCTCCTCCCCTTCCTCACAGTTGTTAAATTGAGGTTGGTGCAAGTAATTAGAATATTTTAAGTTCTACTGAGCAAAGAGGAGCATTTCTGTGTCCCTCATGGTTCTTGTCCTTCAAACTGTAATTTCCCCTAGTGAGGAAAAATACAGTAATTTCATTGTGTTTTACTTTAATATTTAGCACACAGGTTGCCTATTTGCTATAAATTGACTATTGATTGATAAGTCATTCACATTTGAAATCAGACCTTAAGCTCCCAGGAAGCCCGTTTATAATATTGATCTGCATAAAGAGCGTTTTAACTATATTATTTCTTGAATCCACTTAAATTTATCAAATAGTATTTTGATGAAACATTTAAAATTTCTTACTAATCACTGGATTTCCTTGATTACAAAATATCATCATCTCAGTCAGTGTAGGTAAACTACAGACTCACCTCTCATTCATTTCTTTGGTATTTTCAGGACAACTGGATTGCACATCAGGATGATTTTAACCAGCTTCTGGCCGAACTCAACACTTGCCATGGGCTGGAAACCACAGGTAGGGAGATCAGGTGACCTAAGCTCTCGGTGAAAATATGTTTATGAGTTTTTTGTTTTTTGCTTTTCTTATTTTTTAGTTGATACATAATTATACATATTTATTGAGTATAGTGTGATATGTCAATATCTGTACACAATATGTAATGTACACATGTGTTCATCAGTGTAATTAGCATATGCATCAACTTAGACTTTTTTAATATCCTTGTGTTGGGAACATTTAAAATCTGTTTTTCTAGCTATTTGAACATATAAAGTGTTATTTACTCTAGTCACCTACAGTGCTATAGAACACTAGAGCTTTTTCCTCCTATCTAGTGGGACTTTTATATCCATTAGCCAATCTTGAGCTATTTCCACCTACCCCTTCTCCTTACCCAGCTCTAATAACCACTGTTCTGCTATCTACTTTTATGAGCTCAACATTTCTAGCTTTTACATATGAATGAGAATATGTGATATTTATCTGTGCCTGGCTTATTTTACTTAATGTCCTCCAAGCTCATCCATTTTGCCTCAAGTGAAAACCTCTCATTCTTTCGTAACGCTAAATAGTATACCGCTGTGTATATGCACCGCATGCTGCTTCCCGTTCATCTGTTGGCAGGCTCTTAGGTTGATGCCATTTCTTGGCTGTTGTACCACAGTGAGCAGTACACTGGGAGTGCAGGTATCTCTTCAGTGTGCTGATTTCCTTTCCTTTGACTAATACCCGGGAGCGGATTGCTGGATCATTTGGTCATTCTGTTTTTAATTTTTTGAGGAGCTGCCATACTATTTCCTGTTTTCTATAGTGGCTGCATCAACAGTGCATAAGGGTTCCAATTTCTCCATATCCTCGCCAATAATTATCTTCTGTTGTTTGAGAGTAACCGTCCTAATGAGTGTGAGATGATGTCTCATTGTGATTTGGATTTGCGTTTCTTTAATGACTAATGTTAAGCATCTTTTCCTCTGCTTATTGGCCATTTTTATATCTTCTTTGGAGAAATGTCTATTTAAGTCCTTTGCTCATTTTTAATTGGATTTTGTTGTAATCTGCAAGCATTTTTATAAACATTCTAGTTTATAAAGAATCTATTCCTGGTGTATAATGTGTATCTTGGGTGAAAAAATCAATAGATATTTGGTAGATTGAAAGAGAATTTTGTGGGTGAAATAAAGTATTAGACTTGAGTTCAGCAAACATTTATTGAGCTGTGTGCTGGGTACCAGTTTATGTGTGAGGATATGCAGAGGTATAAGACACAGTCCTGCTTGGGGGTAGCTAGCAGAATATGCTGGTGATTACCTGGCAAAATCACAGCACACATCTAACCATAGGAAGATTTATTGCAGTGCTGTGTGTGGAAGTGAGCCCACAAGCATGAAGGGAAAGGTGCTTTGTGGGTATTTTTTCTAACCAGATTGGACTTTCGTTGGAATATATAACTTGTACAGTTTTCCTTATCCATAGGATCATGATACTGAAATATCCTAACCGTTTTGTGTGCAGTCCTAATATAAAGGGCAATAATTTATTAGCAGAAGAAAAAGATAAGGAAAATGCTTTCTGAAAATATTGAGTGACTCATTAGGAAACGCAGGATCTGTGAAGCAGTAAAGTTCAAGGACACTCTTCCTTACTAATTATACACAAAGGCATCTCTATATTTATGATCACAGTTGAACTAAGTAGAAATACAGATAAGAATGTAAGCTTGGCTGGGTGCGGTGGCTCATGCCTGTAATCCCAGCACTTTGGGAGGCTGAGGTGTGTGATCACCTGAGGTTGGGAGTTCCAGACCAGCCTGATCAACACTGAGAAACTCTGTCTCTGCTAAAAATAGCAAACTTAGCTGGGCGTAGTGGTGCATGCCTATAATCCCAGCTACTTGGGAGGCAGGAGGCTGAGGCAGGAGAATCACTTGAACCCGGGAGGCTGAGGTTGCTATGAGCCGAAATCCTGCCACTGTACTCCAGCCAGGGCAGTAAGAGTGAAACTCCATCTCAAAAAAAAATAAAAATGGCCATATAAGACTTGGAGATTTTGACTAAAGAAGAAATAGAGTATAGTGGTTTAGAGACAAACACCAGAGTCAAACTGCCTGAATTTTACTCCTGGTCTGGCTCTTTGTTTGTATGACCTTGGGTAAATTGCTGAACATGACTGTACCTTGATTTCCTCTTTGGTCAGATGGAAGCAATAGTATCATCCTTGAAAGTTGTGAGAACTAAGTGCGTCACAACATCCGAGAAACGCAAGCAGAGATACTCAGCACTGTTAGCGTCCTGATCGTGTGGCCGGCAAACCTAGAACCATAAGCCACGATTATGGCCCGAAAATTTACTTTGCTCTGTAGGATTTCATAAGGAATCTAGGGTTTTATTTTCTCTCTCTCTCTCTTTTTTTTTTTTTTTTTTGAGATGGAGTCTTGCTCTGTGGTCCAGGCTGGAGTGCATTGACTTTATCTTGGCTCACTGCAACCTCTGCCTCCTGGGTTCAAGTGATTCTCCTACCTGAGCTTCCCGAATAGCTGGGATTACAGGCACCCACTACCGTGCCCAGCTAATTTTTGTATTTTCAGTACAGGCGTGATTTTGCCATGTTGACCAGGCTGGTCTTGATCTTCTGACCTCAGATGATCTACCCACCTTGGCCTCCCAGAGTGATTACAGGCCTGAGCCACCACGCCCATCCTAGGGTTTTATTTTTAATAGTTTCCATCACTCTTGAGGCTTTTGTTGTTGTTGTTATTGTTGTTGTTTCTCTTCTGTTTTGAGGCTAGGAAACCAAACCTAAGATCTCTCTCTGCCATATTTTGCCTGCATTGTCTGTAAAAGTGGGTAGAATCTACTTTCCTTAAAGTCTGTCCAGTCTGTAAGATTTCTGGCCTACTAGGAACTGACCTTCCTTACTACCTCAGTATCTTAACTGCAGTAAGGGAAGAAAAAGAAAAGGTAAGAGGATCGATTGAGAAAAGAAAGAAATAAAATTATTATTATTTATTGATATGAGTGTATTGTATATAGACTGGAACTCATGGGTTTATCATAATTGGTAAATTTAGCAGAGTTGCTGGATATAAAGTCAATATATAAACATTAATTTTCTTTCTATATAACTAAAAGGAACAGAAAATAAAATTTAAAATATAATGAGATTGTTTAAAATAAAATGATATTATTTAAATTATTTAAAATTTTAAATGAAAAATTAAATAAAACGGCATATTATTATATCTTTTAGGGTAAAAGACATCAGATTCTTTTAGTAGATCTAACGAGAGATTTTTAAAACCTCTCCCTGAAAAAATGTAAAACATTATTGAGAGAAATTATAGAAGGCCAGATATCAAGATTTATTATAAAGCTACTGTAACAACTGAAGTAAGTATAGTTTTGGCATAAAGATAGACTGCATAGCACCGCAGTGTGGGAAGTAGATGGTCTTTTCAATAAATGGTTTTGGAACAGTTAACTGGTCCCGCCCTTGAAAGTTAACTCTCCTCAGAAAAAACTCAAACTTGACCCCACCCTCATACCCCACACAAAATCAATTCCATGTAGATTTATTAGGAAGAATGTGATAGGCCTAACAGTAAAGCTTTTAGGAGATGATGATGAAGAATATGAATATCTACATGTCTTTGAGACAGGAAAAGTCTTCTTAAACAGGTCATAAAGTGTTAGAACACTTCATAAAGAAAAAGCTTGGTAACTTGATCTATATTAAAATTAAGAATTTCTGTTTATCAAGAAGTGTTATTATTTGGAAGCCACCAGAAGATATTTCCAGTCCATGTTATGAAAAAGTTTCAGATCCAGAATATATCAAGAACCCCTGCCAATACATAAAAAACGATTGACAATGTGATAGAAAAGTGAGCATGAGTCTAACAGGCATTTCACAAGAGAAGACATCCAGGCGGCCAGTGAACGTATGGCAGGGTACACAGCCACGTTAGTCATCAGGAAAATGCAAAATAAAACCTCATGTGATACCACGGCGTGCCACTGGAATGAGGAAGACTGGCAATATCACGTTCTGCTGGCAGTGTGGAATAGTAGAATTCTTACAGAGCTTGGTGGAAGTGTCAGTTGGTATGAGCGTTTGGAAACAGATTAGAAGGATTTACAAAAGTTGAAGATCTGCATAACCCCTGACCTGCCCCCTGTCCAACAGAAGCCTGTGCACAGGTGTCCTGGGAGATGTGTACAACGACACTGATATCATTATTCGTGGTATCCCCAAACTGGCAATAAGCCAGATGCCCCCTGACAATAGAATGGTTAGTCACTGGAGTACAGTTGCATGCAAGACTATAAAACATGTTGGCAAACTTTTCCCAGAAAGGGCCAGATAGAAATATTTTTCAGACCACAGATCCTCTGCAGAACTGCTCACCTTGGCTATTGGAGTGTGAAAACAGCAACAGACAGGATTTAGACCAGCGGCTGTGGCTATGTTCCGTAAAGGTTTCTTACAAAAAAGGTGGTGTGCTGGATTTGCCCCACAGACCGTGTGTCCTCTGGTGTAGAAGACTCATTGACTTAACGTTGACCGAAAGAAGTTGGACACAAAGATACATCGAGCTGATTCCACTTACATAAGCTACAGATAGCAGGCAGACCTGATGTTTAGTGCCATACATAGGTGGTAAATCTGTTTTTAAAAACAGAGACGTGAGTACTTCATTGTGAAACTAGTGATTGCCATAGGAGTGAAGTTTGGGATTGAGAAGGGCTTGTGAGGAGCTTCTGGCCTGCTTGGCAGTTAGGCAGATATTTGTGAACGTTTTGATTTTTTGCACTTTCACTGACTGTTACTCCCTTTTCACCTGCTGCCCCCCACCAGAAAAAGAAATGGTTAAGACACAAATAAAAAACAAGGGGAGTGTTTACCTCAAAACACAAAATAATGGTTATCCCTAGGACAGGGCTTCTCAACCAGGGGCAGTTTTGCCCCTCATGGGACATTTGGCAATGTCTGAAGACATTTTTGGTTGTCACAAGTAG